CTGCTCAGGCAATTCACAGAAGAAATATGATGAGTCAACAAATATATGAAAAAGTGTTCAACATCTCTAGCAATTGGAGAAATGCAAATTAAAACCACACTGAGATTTTATTTCACTCCAGTCAGAATGGCAATTATCAAGAATATATGTAACAATAAATGTTGGTGAGAATGTGGAGAAAAAAGTACACTCATACATTGCTGGTGGGACTAAAAATTGGTGCAACCAGTCTGGAGAACAGTGTGGAGATTGACCCAGTTATTCCACTCCTCAGTATACACCCAAAGGACTTAAAATCAGCATACTATAGTAACGAAGCCACATCGATGTTAATAGCAGCTCAATTCACAAGAACTAAGCTATGGAACCAACCTAGGTGCCCTTCAACAAATAAATGGRTAAAGAAAATGTGGTATATATACACAATGGAATATTATTTAGCCATAAAGAAGAATGAAATTATGGTATTTTCCAGTAAATGGATGGATATGGAAACTGTCATGCTAAGTATATATAAATAATACACTAATAAACTAATAAACTAATTCCTCAAAACCAAAGGGTGAATATTCTCTATGATACACGGATGGTAACACACAATAAGGGGGTGGAGAAGGAAGGGTAAAAGTTCATTGGATTAGACAAAAGGGAATGAAAGAAAGATGGGGAATGGGAATAGGAAAGACAGTAGAATGAATCTGACATAACTTTCCTTTGTTCATTATGAAYACATGACCAGTGTAACACATCATGTACAACTACAAGAATGGGAAGTTATATTCCACATATGTATGTCAAAATACACTCTATTGTCATGTATATCTAAAAATAACTTTAAAAAAAGAAAAAAAAAAGAAACTTGCTCTTCAGAGTTTTTGGACAATCAGCTATACTCCCCCTTTCCTGCTGCCTTATTGTTAATACCCTGCAGCTTCTTATCAGCATCTGATTCTTAGTCTTGCAACTCTGCTTTAAATCCTTCTATTAACCACTTTTATGTCCACCTGGAAAACCAATACCCCACTCTCCCCAGTGTTCCTCAAAATACTGTTCACCTCTACCAGAATCATCACAGATGTTTTGTAAAATGCAGATCCCAGGGTACTCTGAAAAAGAATATACAGGGGCAAGGTCCAAGAATCAAATGAAAAGATGAAAACTGTCAGACTGGTCATTGAAACAAAATATATTTATATCCTATTTATAAGAGACACCATCAATATAAAGACATCAGAAATATGAAAGTGAAAAAATGGAAAAAGATATGCAACACAAATGCTAACTAACATAAATTGTTTTTGCTATTTTAATATCACAGAAGATAAATTTCAAGGTACAATGTATTAYCAGGTATACACAGGGCCATATCACAATAATACACCATTAAATTCTTCAGGAAGTTTAAACAATCTTAAATTAGCATACACCTAGTAATATAAGCTCAAAATACATAAACAAAAAACAGAATTAAAAAATGGACAAATCTATACTTATAGTAGGAGTTATAATACTCATTCCTTAGTAACTGTTGAAACAGGCAGGCAGGAAAAAAAATCAGTAGAGATATAGAACAATTAAACAAATAATTAACAATCTTGAGCTAATTGACATACTTAGAACACTGTATTCAACAAGCAAGACAAATTCTTTCAAAATCATAAATCACCACAACTGATACAAGAAAAAATACATTTTTCTAAATGTTATTGAAAAATTTCCCACATAGAAAAACTTAGGTTCAAAAAAAAAAAAAAAACTTAGGTTCAAATGGTTATACCTGTGAATTCAAATATCTAAGGAGAAAATAATACCAATCTTTTATAAACTCTTTCAGAGACAATATTCGTCAACTATTTTTGTACATGTGTGATGCTGGGGATCAAACCCAGTGCCTCACGTATGCTAGTCAAATGCTCTATTGCTGAGCCACAACTCCAGCCCTTGCCAACTTTTTAATAAGGCTAATATAATCCTGATATCAAAATTCTACAAGGAGGGCTGGGGTTGTGGCTCAGTGGTAGAGCGCTTCCCTAGGCTATGTGAAGCACTGGGTTCGATCCTCAGCACCACATAAAAATAAAATAAACAGAATAAAGATATAGTGTCCATCTACAAAACAACAACAACAACAACAAAATTCTACAGGAGATTATAGAAAGGACAATAATAGGCCAACCTTTCTCATGAATTTAGATGCAAAAAACTGAAAAAAAAAATAGGAAACTGGATCTAGTGATACATCAAAAGACAGGCTTATCAGACCAAGTTGGATTTATTCCAGAATTGCAAGTTTGATTTAACATTTAAAAACCAACTAACATAATTTACCAAGACAAAAAAATTAACCAGGAAAATCATGATTATCATAACAATTCAACTGATAAAATTCAATACCCACTCATGATACAAACTTCTATCAAAATGGGACTAAAAGGAATTTCTTTAATAACTTATACCTACAAAAAAATTTTGCAGCAAACACTTTACTTCATGGTACAATTAAAAATTTCCCAAGATTGAAAATGAAACAAAGATGCATATTACTGACACTTTGATTTCACCTGGTACTGAGTTTTAGCTGACTCAATACGACAAAGATAGGGGGCAAGGCAAAGGTGGAATATGTGCAGACAGGGCTCCAGGTGGGGGTAGGGTAAAGGATAAAGGAAGGGACAAAATTTGACAAAAGTTCAATTTCAACTTCAAATTGTAAAGCACTAGAGTATAAATGTGTATCTATTAAGCTTCTCTGATTCTCTTTATAAACCTATAGTCTATAGACTAGATACAGCAGATACTGTTATTTACTTCTGTTTTGTAGATGATGTAACTAAGCCTCAGGAAGTAAACTGATTAGTCCAAAGTCTCTCTTGAAGAAGCAAATGCAATTGACCCAGGGAGTGGTTGTTTACATCTAAGTTTCTTTTCAATGTGCCACACCTTTTGTAGAAAGGGACCTAGAAAAGTCTAAAGAAAAATTTTGTTTAGCATATGCTGTATGGTCTCTTAAACCTAAAAAAATTGCCATTGAATTCATGATCTAAAACTTCCATAAGAATTTAGAAACATGGTAGGCTGAAATAACACAGATAGGTTGCTTTCCACTTCAAACTCATAGAAATGCTACAAAAATATTTTCAGAAAGATAAAGACAAAGAGAGATAAATTACCACAAAAGAAAGTCAAGAGAAAGAAAGGGATATCTTCAGAGGCTAGAAATGAAGACAGCACTTATATAAATAYGAGTAAGAAACCAGAACTGAAACAAATTCAGATGTAGCTCAGGGACTGGTGACTGGATTTTAGTGCCTGTCCAGGAATAGCAGGCCCATTTTCCAGCTTTTAAGGCAAGCATGTGTACAGGTAAGTGATAAACCCTAAACTGTGGTTTCTTTCTTGAAATCTGGACTCTTGATGAGCCACCTAGTCAGTCAAAGAGACAGTTGGAAAAATTGTGTCTATAGATTCAGGGAAACAGAAAAAAAACTTTTTGTCAAGGACTTCAGATGCGGGTGGTAGAGAACAGGCAAAAGGTCTAACAGAAATGAAAATCATAGGCCTGAGCTACAAATGGATGTTGGGGGAAATCTACATTATTTACATGACATGAAAACTGAGCTGAGAAATTATAAGAACCATGAACATTCCAGTGGGCCRTAGGAACAAAAGATATGAAAAGGCACTATACAAGGATAATTTTACAACATCTAAGAATTTAGAAACATGGTAGGACTTCAGCAGGATGAAGAAAAAAAAATTCTGCTGAAAATGTGAATATTTTCCAAGAATTACAAACAATACAAGGAGGTATATTTCTACAAAGTAGAGTAGTATACACAGCAAGTAGGAATCTTCTCCTATAGCTCTCCAGATAGAATAATCCAAAATAAACTATAAAGCAAGTATGTTGAAAATTATTACAATAAAAAGTGCAAACCACAGGGCTGTGWCTCAGTGGTAGAGCAACTTGCCTTAGCATGTGTGAAGCACTGGGTTCAATTCTTAGCACTGCACATGAATAATGTCCATTGACAACTAACATATATATATATATATTTTTTTTTTTTCTTATAAAGTACAGGGTTGGGGTTGTAGCTCAGTGGCAGAGCACTTGCCTCACACATGTGAGCACTGGGTTCGATCCTCAGTACCACATAAAAATAAATAAATAAAATAAAGATTATTTTAAAAGTGTAAACCATAKTGAAAAAAATAGTACAGCTTGAAAATTTGGGGCATTTGATAAAGAACCWAAGGAACACCTAGAAATTTAAAATTATACTTATTTGAAAAACTGAGTAGATATGATAAAAATAGATTAAATATAGCTGAAGAAATTCTTGTTAATTGAAAGAAAAATATGAGTACATCATCTGGAATACATAAAAATTCAAAAGGAAGAGAGTGAATGAGGAGAGACAAACAGAYAATGGTTTAAAATTTTGAAAAATGAAGATATGAGACGTACTGAATAGAGTGATGAACAAAAACTCATTTGCACCTAAACATAGGTTAGTATAACTGCACAACATCAAAGATTAAAAAAAAATAAAAAATATTTTTTTTAKTTGTAGATGGACACAATACCTTTTGCTTTATTTTTTATGTGATGCTAAGGATCAAACCCAGTGCCACACACATGCTAGACAAGCGCTGTACCACTGAGCCACAATCCCAGCCCAAAACCCACATCTTTCATAAGTAACTAGAAATTAACTTAAGAATGTAATTAGGTGGACAGAAGATTTCTAATTAATAGCAACACMTGTTAGTCCCTATGCCTTCTATTTTGCACCTGTATAGCACAGCTTAAAAAAAAAGATTAAATAGAAACTAAGACATGTAAAGCATTTAGCATAATACATGGCACATACCAGCTGCCTAACAAATGCCAGCTTTTWTTATTACTTAATGTTTACTGTAGTATAATCTAATCATGTAATTTGAAGGCATTATCTTTAGTATGACTACTAAAAATATAAAACATAAGAGACACATACTCTGACATCCACTGAGCAGCCCACAGTCCATGATGGATTTCCCAACACTTGATTTTGGCAGAGAAGATGGACTAGTGAAGATTTTCCAACACCTGGAAAAGATACAAGAACTATAGTAATATGAAAGACATACTGAAATCTCTATGTTCAAAGTAAGAATAAGAATATGCAGAAATAATGGTATTTAAAGCGCAGTATGTTTAAAGGTATGTTCAGATCATATCAACGATATATGCTTGAAATAAGAATGAAAGTGAAGATAGTTAAGGGCAGTGATCCTTTTCAATTTAGCATCAAAATCAGAGAGCTGGATCCTGGTCCCAGGCTTTCCAATATAGCATGTCTATAATAGCATCCAGGATTTTTAAATTTCTAACATGTTCTCAGGTGATATTGATGCTACTAGTTTGGGAGCTTCACTTTGAACCACTGGAGTAGGGCAATTTCATAATAACTAACCCCTTTCCTGGTAAATATTTGACTATCTACTCAGCCTATTTTAGGATTGCAGAATGTTAACAGATTTTAGAGGTAATCCATCTACCCTGTACACCCATGATGAGGTAGGGTCCCTTTCATGGCACCCTGTTACCCTGTTACTGAATGCTGTCAGTAAGCAGGACTTACCATCTAACAAATCCATTTTCAGGCACTCCAATTCTCCCAGTTAGTAATTTTTTAAAAGCAGCACAAATTTACCCTTTGAATCAAAAGAGCAACTCTAATTTCTTCTACATCATGGTCTTTTACTTTGAAGCAGCATTTTATTTCATTTTAGATCTCCTTCTGGTCTTAAGGTAATCTAATTATTAATGCTAAGGATGGCACTTGGGAGATCTGTATGAAGAAAGGGAATGAACACTCCCCTATACCTCTWTGGAGTCACTCATTCATTTAAAAGCATTTTGGGATTCCATTATGACAGGTATAGTTGGGGAATCTTTATGAATCACTAGCTACCTCAATGATTTAGATAATCTCTGTGTGAATTATTATGTATAAATCCATCACTTATGTTTATTCCTTATATTGTGATGACATGCATGGTATACTTTAAAATAATACAAATATCATAAGCCTTTGCTTACATAGCTTGCTGTACCACAAACAGCCTATCCATCCTCTCTCCTCCCCCACTGACCTGGTCAATTACTCTTTCAAGACTCAGGAACATTCTAAAAAGTATGACTCCATACAGGTAGAACTAAGCACACCATCCAATGCACTTCCACTGTACCCTGTATATTTTCCTATAGGGCACTTTAAACAGTTTTACTCTTATTTCTAGGTTTTATTCACTGTTTAAGTTCCTTGAGTGTTGGGGCTGGGTTTTACTCCTTTTTTTTTTTTTTTTTTTTTTAATCCACAGTACTCAGAACAGGGCCTTAATCAGTATTTATTGACTAAAAGTTTCTATGTGAATGGGTATGGTTGTATTATGTCTGTGATACATAAGTACTCTTTAAGCATCAAACTAGGAGGCCAGCCTTAGCAGCTTAGCAAGACCCTGTATATTAATAAATAAAAAATAAAAAGGGATAGGGGTATAACTCAGTGGATAGAGCACCTCTGGGTTTAATCCCCATATCATGGTAGGGGACAATTTGCAAGTTGTTATAGAATCTTCATAAACATTTTAATATTTCCATAGTACTTTATATAGTAGATATAATGATTTATTTAACTATWCTATCATTATTATAGATTTAGTGTGTTTAAAAAATTTCACTACACTGAGTTTTTATTTCTATTAAAYATTTGTTTAAAATTATTTCCTTGGTATGTCTTCCAAGAACATCAACATATACAAGGGAAAAAAATTAAAAGTTCTTAATACATGTTGGCAAATTACTTTCATCTGATTACACTGTCACCAGTCACACATATGAACATGTAGCTGTTTTTCTTTATCTTTGCTATTTTGATAAGAGAAAAAAACCTGAGACTTGCTTTAGTCTGCTTTACTTTCTGGGAAAGATATAAATCATGATCATCTCTGTTCATCTTTCCCCTGCCCATTTATCTACTGGGTTTTAGTATTAATTTATATGACCTCTTTATGCACTGAAGATATTAATAATCTAATATAATTGAAAAATTTCCCAAGGTTTTCTTTTTTTCTTCTTCTTCTTTTTTAACATATCAGCATTTAAGATTTCTGAGTACTCAAACTTCATTTCATTGCATATGTTCATTACTGAATTGCATGTTATCGTTAATCTTTAGGGCATATTGTTAACATTGTGTTTACAWATGTTTATGTTGGAGGCACATATCAAAGCATTTAGTTAACAGCTTCATGCAAGGCTTAAGTCCTTGTTTAGCTTAACTGTGTCAGGGTAAATATCTCTATGCAGTAATATTGTATATCTCTCCATGAACAAACAGCTTTAGGTGGTAAGTATTAGTGACAATGGATGAAACTAATAGTTAAGAAAGGCTGAAGTGCTAGGCATAGAGGCCAATTATTTATTTCTTTTGAAAATTTTAGGAGGTTCTGATTCTATATTTCTGCCATTGAAGTAAATTAGATCAAAAGAATAAACTTGATTTGCTTTGGGGAAAAAAGGCCCAATATAATCAAATAAATGTCAGCTCCAAATACAGTTGTTGGTAATGTATTAAGCTCATCCCTAATCTCTGAAAGAACAAAGAGAAAACAGTATGTTTATGTTATTAAGTCTTTCATGATTCTTAATAGATTATGAAATATTTCTGTCTGTAGGATACAAAAGAAGTCTCCGAATCTCAAGTCATTCCTTTATGTATTTGAAAAACTCTCAAAAGTTCACAAAGGAAATAAACCTTTTATTCAAAATTAACTTTGAAGTTTGAACATGAAGTGCAAAGTGTGTATTCTGACCTGTTAATTAGAAAATCACTGTTAAGAGGAAACTGATAAAAAGACAATAACCGACTTTGCACATAAAACCTAATAGTGAATGTGTGACAGGATCAATCACCTTCCAGGTGGGCATTATGTAGGCCCTGATGTCTCTTTTAAAACTAATGAAAAATGGGGTGGGTGGAGGCAAAACTTACTAACTGCCTGACTACTTTTCCACATTTAATGCAGTAGCCACTTCTACCTGTTATTGCAATGCACTGATTCTACAGTTATAATCCCAGCATCTAATACAATATACCTACTGAAAAACACAATAAATAAACTAACTCCAATAGCATGTAACATGAAGGGACTGCTAGATACAATAGAAAATGGAATTACTTAGTAGAAAGAACATCTACTTTATATACCATTAAGATCTGTGTTAACTCTGGATTGTAGCCTTAAATTGTATTTGATGATGAGTATTGCCAAGTCCCTTTAGGCCACCATTACTTTCTTCATCAGTTACACCAARTGATTTTATTGACTTAATGTCATTTAAGCTCCACAATAAAAGAAATGAAATTCACATACATTGGGATTATATTTATAGATTTTCATAATGCAGGAATATTAAATAATATTTGAGGAATATTAAATAATACTTTTTGTAAGATATGTTGAATTGCAAATGTTCCCATGCAATGTGACGATGTTCCTCTCCCACCATAATTTGATATACTCTCTGTAAGGCTAGCTTTCAAGCTCTTTGGGGTATGTCCTCTTTGTCTCCAAGCATGTAACATAATGTCATTGCTTACAGCACACAAAGATCAAATCCAGAATAGCACATCTATAACAGCATTTATTCAAGTTTTTAGGAGAGTCGTAGGTTATGTGGGAAAGAGAGTAAGGCTGCGGGGTCCAGTTGGGGCGATGGTGCAGATTTCAAAGGTAACTACCTTCAAATGTCCAGGGAGTCAAAAGAAGTATTTTAACACTAGGATTAAGTTGGGCTCAGGATTAAGTCCTAGTCACTTTTTGAGTGTGGCCTTCATCTTAATTTCTCTATTTCCTACAATTCARAACATAATAGGTTTTTCAGTTAAGATTAAATGAGAATATGTAAATACATTTTTGGATTAAAAGTGAAATAGGATTACCACTATTTCATTGCGTAACATATGTGTTTAAGCTCATGGGTTCAAACCAGTTGTCATTTACAACTCCGCTACTCGCTTTTCTCTCCTCTATAATGGGGTCAAAGGACTAATCTTGGAATTAAATGAATTAATATACCAAAGCGCTCGCCAGTGTCATTCTTGGTGCACGTCAGACTTAACAAAATATCCTGAAGGCACTGTCCTACTAACTTCTATACCCTTACACGGCTCCCAATAAAACAACAGCGCCAGCACTTTTTAAAATAAGTCAATTGATAAAAAATTATTATTATTTTAAATAAAGCAATTCTCTTAAGCTGTGGTCGCTCGGAAGCCGGACGTGGAAAACCGCAACAGCAGACCAAGGCGCGAACTCCACTACCAGCCCCCCACCACGCGACGACGGCGATTCGTCAAATGGAGCAAAGTCCTCTGGGAAGTGTAGTCTTTAGGCTCCGAAAGGGAACTCAGCTACAGACCGAAAAGCCAGGAAGCTGGGGACAGCAGTGAAGGGTGAGAGGTATTGGGTAACTGAAAAGTGTCGGGAGCCACAGAGGAGGGTTTAGCCGCTCACCTGAGTCTCCCAACACCAGTACCTTCACCCGATCCAGGGACGCCATCTTGTCACTGCTTTCKCTGGGGTCAACGCCTGTTCCGGGATTCTAGGCCAATCACAGCGGCACAGGGAGGGCACGGCCTTCAATTTCATTGGTCGGTCGCAGTGTGACTCTCTTGATTGAAGGCTAACCTACGCTGATAGGCTGGTCTGGTTAAAGGTAGCGAGTGGTTTCCTACGCCGGTCGCAGGAATAAGACGTTTTCTTTGTCGCACAGTGGCGTGGGCTTGTTTAAGCCGGTAGTTCAGGTGCTGAGGGAAGCTGTAGTGGGAGTGTTCGAGGATTCGCTTCGGTAAACCTAATTCCCTATTCCTTGTTCCCTGTGGCTCGGCGTCGTTTTTCACAGCTTCTCCTTTTCGCTCCGCTCTTCTTAACTGTCCCCCTCTCCCTAGCCACCTTTTATCTTTAATCTTTCAAAGAACCATTGACCCCGGAGAGGCCCGTTTGCGACCTCGGGTAGGACGGCTGTGGCTGCGCCGAGTGTGGCCCTGGACCCAACAGGAAGAGCCTGAGGGAATGTGGGGTCTCGCAGGGGGGAGGTTTGAACACTACTGAACGCGGCTCGTGGAGGGCCGCGGGGTCCCGAGGTTTCCCGGTAGTGTGCCGCTTTACGTGAAGGCGTGGCGCGTGCCATGAAATACAGTGACTGAGAAAACTGCAGGTATACGTGTGGAATCCAAGTTCTTCTGGAACTGAGCAGTAGTATGCTGGAATAATTTAGCTGGACGCCCTGCATTCATTCTTCTTTTATTCTGTACCCAGTCGGCATAACCTTTCACAGTCGCGAATTTGATCTAGTTATATCTTGCTTAAAACCATTCTAAGAAAGATAGTGAAGAGTCTGCCTTCTTTTGTGGAAGAAGTGAATCACGGGGAAGCTGGCAGGGTAGGCATGTGGGAAGAACACGTGCATAGCATTGAAAGTTTTATGTAAGCACTTGACTAGATGCTAGAAATTAATTGGTGAGCAAGATGAAGTCCCTGGACTTGGACATGGAGAAAGTACTAGAAGGGGAACAGCTATGGAAACAKATGAAAGGAGGTCATTCTGTGCTGCTGTAGAGAATCTGGGACGCCTCTGAGGAAATGTGACTCGAGAAGGATGTGACTTGAAGGACAGTTAGGAGAAAATGGTTTGGGCTTAGCTGTGGACACAAAGTGAACAATAGGTGCAAGTAGAGAAAGCCGGTGTGGCTCTTGCAGTCCTGAGTATGCCGGTGTGCTGGATATGARGTTTACAAGGGTAGACGTGGAGCAGAGTGTTTTTTCAACTTTGTTTCTCCAGTTCCATGCCTGGGGCCTAATAGTCCGTAAATGTGTGCATAATTAGGATATATGTGGGTCTGGACTGGGTAGGGAGGTAGTTGAAGCTGGGAAATGACTGATGAACTATGAAATAAAAAAAGGAAAGGAGGGCATTGAGAGCACACACTCAACTGTCTCCAGAGACCAAGCTTCTTCCCTGTCTAGACGTGTCAACTGCTGTTCAGCTTCAGCTTGTTCCTATGTGAGGACATGGTCAGATATGGTCTCCTTTTTCCCCCCCTGACATTTCCAGTTTTCCAGAGGAGCTGGAAGTTGAAATTTATGTGRAGTCATGATTTTTAAAATGTTGACTAATTTTTTTGGACAACTAATTTAGAAAATGTTCATAACATTCTTTGGGTGAAACAATGTATATGGCTAATCTTTGCATTTCATAAGTAACTAAAATGCAGCGATTGAGTAAGGAGATTGAGSATTGAGTGGGGAAGGGGAAGTGATGGAGGAAAGAAGATGGTGATCAGGAAGGAAGATTTCAAAATACAGAGATTTGAACAAGATGGCTCAGCTTGTTCTTGTTCCTGAGCTCTAATTTTATTTGTCAGGCTACTTGCTGGGCCATCATTAGAGCATTAGCATATGGTATTTTCTCAAAGGCATGCTACTAAAAGTGAATGCCTCSTTTTTTTTCCAAACACTGGTTCAGGTGTTACCTGTCATTGTACTACTTTTCCTAGTTACAGTGACTCAAAGCAAAGAGCTGTTTAARATTTTTCCTATTCTGTTTCCTAAGTACTGTTGGGTCCTTTTGCTTTTGGTTCTGTGATTAAATTACATTCATCTTGTCCTTGGAATTTTTTGCTTTCTTCCTGAGTTTCAGTTTTATTTCTACAGCTCCTTATACTTCCATAGTGCCTCCACCTTTATTTCAGATCATTCTTCATATTGCTCCAAGACTCAATTTTATAAATAAGGGATTTTATTATGAATGCCATACTTAAATCGAACTCCTCCTGCTAGTCCTGAAAGCAGAACACTTTATGTTAATTACTTATTTCATCTGTATGAAAAAGGCATTGTTAATCACTTTTTATATATGCAGAACTTAAGGCTGAGTATTTACTGAGGTCTGTTGGATTGCAGAGTCCTCAAGACACTCAATTACTGTCATCTCTAGGACTTTAAGTAGAGTGTTTGAGGCAAAGAAAACAGGCTAAATAAGTGGCACRGGTACCTCTCCATTGTGAAATGTGTGTTGGTAGGGTAAGTAGTTAGGGACTTTTGGTGTGTATTGCTTTTAAAATTAATTTAGTGCCTAACCTGGCCCTCCCAGACCAGTTGAAACAAAACTTCTGGGAGTGGGGTTCAGGATTGGTAGTCTTAAGATGCTCCCCAGATGATTCTACTTTACAACCTGGGTTGAGAATCATTGATCTAGTGTATGGGGTAGGGGAAAGGAGAAAACAGTAATAGAAAGCAATATTGGAAAATGAGTTATGTTGACATTTGTCTGCCATTCTTTGGTCTTTGGATGTTTCTGAAGCCATAATGTAGTCTGTCTATTGTAGAACATACAAAACAACAAAAAAACAGAACTAAGTTTAAGTACAGTGTATATACCAAATTGGAAGGGAAAACACTATGTCTAGGAATATGCCATGGTTCTATGGCATTCTTAAGCCCTGGGGAGTGACCTGAAGGCCCTAGGACCACAGGTTTGGATTGAGATGTTACTTTCTTATTTTACCTTGTATATAGTTAGGCTTGAGATTCATCTAAAGTATATCTTTTATTGCAATTGTAAGAATCTTTTCCTTTGTTACGGTAGAACCTTATGTTTTTTCCCCAAAATGTGTGTGTATATTGGTTATTTAGGAATTTTTTAACAATATAGGATTGTGGCTATAAAAATATTATAAAAGGAATGTTAAGTCTGAAAGTATTGATAATAATTTCAAATAAAAGGTTCAGTTGAAACTAGTTTTAATAGCAGAATATTATTCTTTGATGATATAATTCAGTGGCATATCTCTGTCAGAAATTTCTCTACTCCATAAGGAAATTTCACCATATCTAAAATGTTGTGGATAATCTGGCTACTTTTAATTTGGAATGTATCAAATTGATATGGAAACTCTCCTTGCTAATAAGTCCCTACTACCACTACTTACATTCTCATTTATTAATCACAACATCCCCTTCTTGGAGAATAAATTGTCGCTTGAAGTTGTTTAAAGGATTTGGTTATGCTCACACAGCTACCAAACACAGGATGTCTAGAGCACAGGTTTTTTGACAGTATAAGTGTAAGAATGAAATGCCAGCTTGGACTTTGAGAGGACAGCTTTCTGGGCCATGCCATGGACATTAGATCTATTTAGCTTCTCCTTTGACTTATAATGGATTCAACATGTAGGGTATGTTGGTCTGTTTTCTCTCCCCGTTTTATTCTTTTTTAAAGACTGGGGTTATTTACTTAACTGTCAGATTTAACTTTTCAGGTTGGTAAAGCTGTCTGGATCTAAGGGTTAATTTCTTTCAAATTTATAATAGATTTTTGTCAAACGTTCTAACGGGCAATTACTTGTACTTTATTGATTTGTTGTGATTTCATTGTGAAAGCATGACTGAGTCAAACATCCTATAGTATTAGTAGAAAATTAAACTCAAGAAATAAAGACCCTTTAAGTATGTGTTAACAGCTGGGTTTCTCAGGGGGTTTCCAAAGATCTATATCATTAAGAATTGTTAGTACCTCATTGAGCATTTTTGTGTTTCTTGTTCTGAAATAACGTGGATTTAATGTAATATWTCATTGTTATGAATAACAAGTCACTCTTTATGAATCAAGAGCACTGTTGGCCATGAAAGTAAACATGTAGGAAATATATCAAGCTTTTTAGCTATGATCTTGGGTACTCTGTTGAATCAAATCCTGTTCTTTCCTGTTAGATGCCTAGGTATTAGAAGCCTTTTAAGATAATGTTTGAGTACGTTTAGGCACTCCAAGAATAGTAGTAGGTACTGGCTAGCAGGTTGATTTTTCTACATTTAAAATGATTACCATGTCTTCTTCCCTACTAATCCTGTTTTGTTTTGTTTCTGAATTTAGTATATTTAAAGTTGAAGGTTGCTGCTAAACTAAAGATGGCAGACCCAGATGTCCTGACTGAGGTTCCAGCAGCATTGAAGAGGTTAGCCAAGTACGTGATTCGGGGGTTTTATGGCATTGAGCACGCTTTGGCCTTGGACATTTTGATCCGGAACCCCTGTGTGAAAGAGGAAGACATGCTGGAGTTGCTCAARTTTGATCGGAAGCAACTTCGATCAGTTTTGAACAATTTAAAGGGAGACAAATTCATCAAATGCAGAATGAGGGTAGAGACTGCTGCAGATGGGAAAACCACTCGCCATAACTACTACTTTATCAATTATCGAACTCTTGTTAATGTGGTAAAATATAAGTTGGACCACATGAGAAGGAGGATTGAAACAGATGAGAGAGATTCCACCAACCGGGCTTCCTTCAAATGTCCAGTCTGTAGTAATACTTTCACAGACTTAGAAGCTAATCAACTCTTTGATCCAATGACAGGTGAGACTTATTCCAGATTATGAATCAATTAAAATATGTGCCCATTTTCTTTTAATTTCTCTAAATTTTAAACCAATCATACCTTATCAGAAAAGTGAATGGATTAATGTGACTCAGCATGCAAGTAGTTTTGCTATCCTGGTTGGCTGTCTGTAGTACTTTGAGAATCTTTTACAAAACCTTTCTCCTTCACAAGAGAGTACACTCATTCATGGGGTTTCCTGCCAGTGACCCTTTTGCTTCTGCCCCCATCCCTACCCCTGACTTACAGTTGTGGCCTAAAGGATTAATTTTTTTTATACCACTTTGAGGCTGTTCTGACAACTTTACTTTTGATCTCTTCTTTTAAAAAATATTTGAGCACTAACCAGTCACTGTGCATAGTTTTAACAAAATGTCTTTGAACATTTTGTTAGTGGAAGTATAAAGTGCTCTCAGGAGTACATAACAATGATGTATAATCTGGATTTGAGGAAAGCCTCCATAAAAAGTTARCAGCTGAGAGCCAGATGAAATAAGAAGGGAGTCCTTTCCAAATTAATTAAAGGATAGATATTATTGTCTCAGTCACGTGTTAATAAAACAGGGTTGGCAACAACATTAACTCACTTCATTTAATCCAACATTTGGTTTTAAGAATTTTTCTTAACACAATTTACAAAGCATGTATTTTCCAAAAATACAATGTATCTAGCATTATCATGAGAAGTTTTAACTTTATCATACTGGATTATGGAGAGTTATTTTTAAACTAGAAAAGAGACTAGTTTTAATAATTACTCCATGGATTCATTTTGTCTTATTTTCTAGAGATAAAAATGTATATATAAGGAGTTAATGCTCTTAAATTATTCTTTTGTTATGTTGGAATTCAAGAGCATAGATTACTTTTTAGTTTAAATTTTTTTTACATTTTATAATTTATAACTAGAGAGAAGTTTCTAATTTTAAACTTTTCATGTGAAACCTTTTGTTTTGAAAAATTACATATTTGTATATGTGCTTAATTTTCTAATATTTGTGTATGTTATGTATGGTTCATTCTAAAGAATTTAAAAACCTAAAATGGGAAATAATCCCACCATCAATTTAGGTTATTAGCAAATAAAACCAAAGAGAGCCTGTAACATTTATTTATTCTTATTGTGAGATGTTTATTTTGGGTGAAAAATCATTTAAAGAATTCTCCTTGTCTGAACCTACTTATTTATACCCCGGTGGGGCTTAACTAGGAGAGATCTTGATTATAAGAAAAGATTAACTATCCTGGTATAATTGCTTGAGTATACTACAGAGGAAGGTTTTAGACTATATCTGGAGCTCTTTCAAAATAGACTAAACGAGTCTTGTGATTTTTGCCACTTACTCGAACATATTTCTTAAAAGAGCTCTGGGTTTTGGTTTTGTGATTCTCTGCAGATGTTGGTGTTACAGTGGTCCTGTCTTCATCACTCTTGACTGCAGTGGAAGGTGTTATCCAGTCCCTCAGAGAGGATAATCAGAAGTAATATGCTTCTACTGTATTTATTCATCATTTTGAGTCTCTTAATTTTATGAAACTTTCTAAAAGGAGGTGATTCCCCTATTTATATATCAGTTTTTAGGCAATTGATCCATGATGCTTTTTGAATTTTATCCAGGGTTAGTGTCTGAACAAAACTAGCTATAATCAATCAGTTGCCTACAGAAGAGCTAGCCCAATATCCAGATATAGCCAGAGTTATATGAGTCAGTGAGTTGAGATAGGATAAAAAAGAGCCTGGAAACTTTATGAAAGAAAGCTACAACTGAGACAGGTATGTTGTGTCCAGTCTGAACAATGTATTTAACATGAGAGTTATGGTTAGCATGAAGTTAGAAAGGAGGAGGTGCAGGAAAGCAAGAAAAAGTCACTTAACCTTGATGTTACTCAGAGGAGGGTATCCTGACCATCTTGRATGCTATTATCCAATTAGCAGTTTTTCTCCTATATGAAGCTTGAGTTATCTTGATTGAAAATTTTATAAGTGACCTTTTTCTGAGAATATACTTGACCTTTGTTGAGTTCCCTTTCAGGACAAAATATGCTGCTTAGTTGATATATTAGGCCCCAGTCTACTTATCAGGTTTTTTTTKTTGTTGTTGTTTTTGTTTTTCTTTTACTAATACCTTCTCTTGAGCTATACATTCTCCTGAGAAATCTTTTGTCTTTTTCTCTTTGTTTGCTTCCTGATTATTCAGTTTTTATTCTTTGTCTCTGCATTTATTTATCTAGGAAACATTTGGTGTATGTAGCAGGGGAGGAGGTAACTTCTCCTGTAATGCTTAAATACAGTCTGAATTGGTAGGCTGCAGTTTTCATTCTAACCTTAGTTTTGTACAAATGTATCTTATTTCCAGTTTGCTATAAAAAATTGATTTTTTAAAAAACCATATTTCTGACTAGATGATGGGGACAACTTTGGGCTCTTTCCCCATTTCTTTCTCCACAGTTCTTAGGTTGGATTATCTTTTATCTTAACAATTGGGGGAACATTCAGGAATTAGACTGAAGATTTCTATTTCTCTGATAAGAAGTTCTGTCACTCGACAAAGAGCAGTGATTTCCTGAGGAGCACCTGAAAATTCTGGACCTGAGATCTATGTCCAGCAAGTATCATTTTATCACCATTAATTCATGCATGGGCCAGTGTCTTCCTTTTTTAGTTTACAGCTTTTTCTCCCTACCCTGTCTTTCCTCTCCTAAAGATTGTAGATTCCCTCCATACTTGCCATTCAGATTTTGCATTTGGTGTTCCTGGGTTCAGCTCTGTAAATGTTTGATACTTGGTATGTATAATTTTTTTCATTATTTCATTAATACAGAATAGCTTAGTCTTTGCCTACTAGTCCATAGTTTCAGAAGCTTCATCGGAAAAAAGCAACTATTTTATTACTGAAATATGGGTATTTATATAATCAAAACAGAGACAATAGGACACGAAATCCTTCAAATCAGCAATATAGCTTCTTGTGCTTCAAAAGTACATGTTTTAGATTTAGCAAGCTTTCTGACAATGTAAATAGACTTAGTATTTCTATTTTAGTTCAGCCATGGGTGATACATAGTTAGTGACACTTCTAAGTTAAGCTCAGCAACATGTCTTACATTTTTTTTTAGTTGTTAAGGTTAGATAATATGGGAATAGCTTTATGTTTTCCATTTTTATTTAAAAATATGCAAGCATAATATCAGAAAATTTTGTGAAGAGAAAAAATCACCCACAAAACTACTAGCCTTTTATGTATTACCTATAATTGTGATCATAGCCTAAAATAGTTTGTGTTCTCCTGGTTCTTTATCAAACTGTTTCTGTTTAGTGTTCAAAATATGTTTTAATAGTTGTATGATTTCCCCTGTTTTCCTTTGTACCCCTTCTGGGTACTTTGAGTTTATCTATTTTTTTCTGGTAACAATATAAGATATTTTGAATACCTTTGTACATATCGTATTTTATTTCTGCTTAAGTTTTTCTTACGATATGTACAAAGGTAAAATATGATGTGTACAAAGGTATTCAAAATAACTTACTGGTACTTAAGAATTCTCAGTATTTGACATATTGGCCAAAAGAGTGTAGTCTTACAACTTCTGTAAAAGCATATATGGTACTGTAGTTTTAATGGGGATTGAATAAAATAAAATTGTTAGATGGAATAAAAAATAGTTTGGAAGACCTAAATTACTAAATTTATCTAGAGTGCACAAAATCCCATTTTAGGTAAACTCTGTGATAGAGAAATTTTGAATTTTTGAAAAAGGAATCATAAATCTTTAATAAAGTCTTAAAAATAGGAATTTAGAGATTATCTGGTTCCACTCCTCAAATGATATGTGTGGCTACTACATATACCATGTCTGTGTTCTTGGATTTGGATGATCTTATGTAAGTCTAGGGATATATAAATTGCTAGGATGCTTTAGACTGATTAAGGAAGAGTATGATAGCATTCATGGAGATTCAGCTTACTTTGTGGCTTCCAGTGAAAAGACTTGGAAATACTAGGTTTAAGGATTAGCATAAAGAAATCTTTAATAACTAAACTATGTCTGTAATAAATAACTCTTAAACATTACCACTAAAGGGAATAGATCTCTAGTGATAAGTTCCTAATTACTTGGAATATTCAAGTAAACTTGGTATCTACTTGATATTTGTATGTAAGCATGGGGTTTGATCATGGGTCCTTCTTGATTTATGACTTCAAGTAAAGCTTTTTGGTTTAGATAAATAAACTATCTGAATCCTTATCATTGAAATTCTTTTTGCATTCCTTTTTTTGTAACATTTACAAACTATGAGTCCTACATTTGTGAGACTCTCAAGACTTATTAATAATGTTTGCCATCTTAGGTCAGACCACTTTTCCTGTCTTCATCTCCAAATATTTGGGACAGGAGATATCTTATAAGCAATATTTTCAATCCCTAAAATGCTAAAAGCAGAGACAAATACAAAAAGAAATCTAGGATCATTTAGTTAATTGCTGATTCCTCAGTCATCTTTGGAATTTTGCCCAGAATGAGTTAATTAGAAAATTATAGAAAAACTGAAAACTGTAGATTTGGGTGGTGATAGTAAATGTGGAAGAGGTGAAGAATAAGTTAAATGAATATATGAAAACAAGTTATGGAAAGATAGTAAGGAATATGTGCCTTCCCTCATCTACCCTTCTCTATCTCCCAAACCTTTAGGTCTGCTTCTTAAATTTTGCCACCGATGATCTTGAGAATTTGAGTGCTTCTTTTTTTTTTTTTTTTTTTTAACTTTTGTGTTTTTTCTTTTTTCTTTTTTTTTTTTTTTTGTATTTTGGTGCTGACATAAAAGAAGACTTTTTGTGAAGAGTTGCTTTTGCTTTTTAGTTTTGATACTGGCATACATGTTTAGTTGATGTTGTCTTTCGAATATTCATATCAAAACCAACTTTTTGCTTGTCTACTACATGTTGAGATGAATTTGATTTAAGACTAACTTAGAGAA